GACCAAGAACCTGCTGAAGGAGCGGAACGTAGTACGACCGCGGCCGCGCAGCGCCTCCAGAAACAGCAGAGACAGCACCGGCACCCTCAGCCGCAGGGTCTCCAGCTACAACTCCTGCACCACCACCAGTCCCAGCAGCTGCAGTACCTCCAGTACGAGCACCTCCAGGACCAGCTGCTCCTGCACCTCCAGTAGCTCGAGAACCACCAAAACCTCAACCAGCACCAGTACCACCAGCACCTCCAGCAGCTCCAGCACCAGCAGCACCTCCAGCAGCTCCAGCAGCACCTCCAGCAGCTCCAGCAGCACCTCCAGCAGCTCCAGCAGCACCTCCAGCAGCTCCAGCAGCACCAGCGGCACCGCGACAGCGCCGAGCGTACCACTCACGAAGCTGCTGCGGAGAGAGGGGCTCTCGCCGCGACGGGACACCCGGAGAACCTCCAGACTCAGCACGCGCAGGCTCAGCACCCCCAGACGCAGTACCCCCAGGCTCCACACGCTCAGGCTCAGCACCCCCAGGCTCAACACGCCCAGACTCAGCACCCCCAGACTCAGCACCCCCAGGTTCCACACGCACAGGCTCAGCACCCCCAGGCTCCGCACCCCCAGTCCCCGCACCCGCAGGCTCAGCACCCCTAGCAGCACCTGAGTCGACACCTACCTCGACCGGCTCGGCAGGGTCTACCTGGGACACACCTCAGGGGGCAGGACCCTGAGGGGGGAGGGGGTCTACCGGAGGAGTACCTGGTGCTAGGAAGAGTGGCGGGGGGGGGAGAGAGGCAGTGCGGTAGGGAAAGAGACGGTAGTAAGACACCGACTCGTCAAACGTGACGTCATGAGAGGACAGAACACGACGCGAGGTGGGGTGGTAGAACTGCCACCCGGGTGCGTCAGGGGGGAAGCCAAGGAAGACGCAGGGAACGGCACAGGAGGACAGCTTGTCCGCTGAAGTATCGCAGACAAAAGCTCGAGATCCCCAGACACGGAACACAGACGCATCGCCAACCTTCCCCGTCCACCGCAGAGTAGGTGTGGTCTCTGGCAAGGTCGGAGGAAAACTCACCACCTATGTCTGAGTGCAGACGCAGAACAGGAAGGTCCGAGCCGAAACTCTCGCTGAGCTGGCGACTGGCACCGCGGATCCAGTCGATCAACACCTCAGTGACGTCACCCTTGCTGCGCAAGGGGAAGACTGTGGTGTAACGCGAGTAGTCGTCAACGACCAGCAGGAAGTAACGCTCGTGACCCTGTCCACGGACGCGGGCTGGGCCCCACACGTCCATGTGAAGAGTCTGCAGGGGAGCCTCTGTCGGAGGGAACGTGGAGGAGTGAGGAGCGGCGCGCTGCCGGCCCTCGACACAAGGAACACAGGTAGGGGCCGGCCTCGGAGGAAGGGGAGGGAGGCACTGGGGGAGACCCGAGACAAGGGTACAGGAGGCCATACCTCGAAGACGAGGCAGGGAGGGGTGACCAAGGTGGTGGTGCCAAAGGAGAGTCTCGTGTGACAGAGGACGACACGAGCAGGGGGCAAACGCCGGACTGGACCTGGACGCGGCAGCATACACCTGACTAGACGCGACTACCTGACCAAACGCAGAGACGGGAGGAGACGCAGTAGTCAGTGTGTACAGACTCGACCCGGGCCGACGGGTGAACGTGGCCAGGTGGCGGCCCGTCCGAGAGCAAGTGCAGTGGGTCACATGCTGACCTCCAGGGGTGAACTGGTCAACCCATGCGTCCAAGAGGTCAGCTCCACTCACCAAGTTCGTAGAGAACGAGGGGAGGTGGAGTCCCGATAGCAAGCCCGACGGGGCTGTGGGACACGGTAGAACCGTGGAGGAGTGCGCATGGACTGGGCCCCCAGAGGGGTCAGCCAGGGAGACTGCGACAGGCCGACTGAGCGGCGTGAGTGTGGTGCTATCGCGAAAGAAAGAGCGCGAAGCACCAGAGTCAAGTGTGAAAGTGTGCAAGGCCTCAGTAGGTGCAGTACCAGAGAGAGCAGACTCACCAGCACCTGGAGCAGCAGACTCACCAGCACCTGGAGCAGCAGACTCACCAGCACCTGGAGCAGCAGACTCACTAGCACCTAGAGCAGCAGCCTCAATGCCCGGGTCGGGCGGAACACAGAGGTAACAGTCACCCTCAGCACTATCAGTCACAGCATACGTGGCAGCAAGGATAGCATCGAAATCAAGATCAAAGATAGCAACATTCTGCTTAAGCAGATCACCCCAGCGAGGGAGCTCAACAGCGTTAGGAAACTGGGCGCGCCAGGCGTCAGCCAGACAACCGAAGCAGCGCTGTGCAGTGTGTGGCAGCCCGCACGTCTCCCCACGACGCCCGCCGATATGAAGAACGTAAGTGCAGGGACCAGCACCCCCAGACCTCCCATGCCCAGCGTAGCTGCGCAGCTGCACCTCGACCAGCATCCCCGCTGCAGCCACCTCCACCACCGCTGCCACTGCCTCCACCACCGCTGCCGCTGCCTCCACCTCCTCCGCCGCTGCGTGCACCACCTCCACCGCAGCCACTGAAGCCCCCACTCCCGGTACCACCCCCACCTCTACCTCCACCCTCTCCGCCTCCTCCACCGCCTCCACCGCTGCCCCCACCATCCCCTCCACCACCCTTGCCCCCCTTGCCCTTGCTGTTGCGGTGCCTGCCACTAGGAGCAGACGCAGCTCCGACCTCCTCAGTGCCAATGAGGTCGACAGCAGCAGCGGAAGCGACAGAGGGGAGAAGGGGGACAGGGGAACACCCCTCAAAGAAAGGGGTGCGACGATCGCTGCGAGAAGCACCTACAGCTAAGATACTCTTCTCAGCTGCAGCGAGTCGCTCCTCTAGCAGGTCGACAGTGAGCTCTGTGGGGCAGAGGGAGAGAAAGTGGTCCCTGACTGAAGAAAGGGAGTCAGGGAGCTGGGTGACTAGGTTGTAAAGGGTGATGTACATGGGGGGGGGGTTCTTGGCACAGAACTCAGTGGGAAGCGCAGCGCGGTAGCGGGTGTCACTAGTGCGGAGGTGGGTAATGAGGTCAGCGACTGTGGCAAAGGCGGCAAGGTCAGGGAAAAGGTATGGCAGCATGAAGCGGCTGAGGGCAGCAGTGGCAGGGGAGGAGTAGCGCGTTACGACATCGTCGTACAAAGACTTAGCAGTCTTGTACTGGCCAAAATGCGCGGGCTCAGCAGATGGCAGGTGACTACGAACAGCAAGGCGAGCAACAGCGTCATGAGTGGTCCACTGCGAGCGAACCGTACTGTCAGCAGTGGCAGTAGGTGCAGTAGAGACACCGGATGTGTGATCGAACAGGGATACCCCATCCCTAGAGTCACACTGAAGAAAAAGCTGCAGGTCGTCAACCCACACGTCAAAGTCAACTGCACGCCCCTCAGCATCAAAGGTGAGAACAGTAGGGCTAGCCATGGCAGCAGTAGTAGCAGTAGCAGCAGTAGCAGCAGTAGCAGCAGTAGCAGTAGTAGCAGCAGTAGCAATAGGAGCAGTGCAAGCAGTAGGGCAGCGTGGCTCGGCAGTGCGGCGCGGCTCGGCTGGGCGGCGCGGCTCGGTGGGGTGGCGCGGCTCGGCTGGGCAGCTCGGCTCGGCAGGGCGGCGCGGCTCGGTTCCTGGCGGCGCGGCGCGGCAGCAGGCGGCGCGGCGCGGCAGGGCAGCGCGGGTGCTTACCAGGGGCGGGTGCAGGGCAGGGCCGCAGCTGTCGGTTTAGGTCAGGGCCGCGACCGGGGCAGCAGCAGGGCAGGGCCGCGACAGGGGCGGCAGTAGGGTAGGGCCGCGACAAGGCGGCTGCTGGGCAGAGGCCGCAACGAGCGGCGAAGGCAGGGCCGCTACTGGGGCGGCAGCAGGACAGGGCCGCGACAGGGGGCGGCTGCAGGGCAGGGCCGTGACAGGCGGCGAACGGGCCGACGACGGGCGGCTGCAGGGCAGAGGCCGCGACTGGGTGGCTGCAGGGCAGAGGCCGCGACGGGCGGCGAACGGGCCGACGACGTGCAGCGAACGGGCCGCGACGGGCGGCAAGTGGGCCGACGACGGGCGGCGACGGGCCGATGACGGGTGGCAAAGGGGCCGGGACGGGCCGAGACGGGCCGGGACGGGCCGGGTCGGGCCGAGACGGGCCGGGACAGGCCGGGACAGGCCAGCGACGGGCGAGCGCGGGGCCGTAGTGGGCGGCTAAGGCAGGGCCGCGACGCGTGGCGACGGGCCAGCGATGGGCAGCTACGGGCCGGGACGGGCCGGCTGAGGCAGGGCCGCGACGGGCCAGCTAGAGAAGGGCGCGCGACGGCGCAGGTAAGGCAGGCGCGAGGCGCGCTTCGGGCAGGGCAGGAAAAAAATGTTCGTGGTGGGCCCTAAAAAAACGTTCCCACGAGGGAACCTGCTCAGGATACCATGTTAGAATAGGAAAGAATGAATGGCTGAACTAGCAAGCATGTGGGTACAAGTAGGAAACCTAAAAGTGTTGTACCCTATATGAACTACCCCATTACAGCCTACATAGACTATAGCATATAAGTTTGACATTATCAACTAATCTTGTTCTCACACATTAGTACAAGGTGGTTCAGCAACTCTGATATTAAAACGCTTCCGCAACTACAACATTCCTACCTCAACCCCAATTTTAGCCTTAGAAGATCCTAAGGGCTTTTTTCAGCCCAACACATGCGACCCCCAAACTGGCGCATGGGGTTTCCCGCCTAAAATTCGGGCCCCACAACAGTCGCATCCAATTGAGATGCTCCATTCCATGACACACGATCTCCTTCATCTGGTTGAGCGACACTCACCCCACCCTCAACTCCGTCAAAATTCCCGGTGGGAAGAGTTACATGCAGATCTGTGCGGCTCCAGATCCCAACCCAACCAAACACCCCTCTTGCAACATCCCCACGCAAGGGTTTCGAGCACTTGGGCAACCAGCACAAGCATGAGCAAACAGATCTCCCTCACAAGTGTTCCTGAGCTTCCACACCAGCCCGCTATCTACGTTTTTAGCAATGCCTCCACGCCGAAGCGCTCGCAGCAAGGGAAAGGAGAAACTTAGCGACGATGAACGGATGGAAGACCCCCCGTATGTCGCATGGATGAAGGAGCAGCAAAAGCAGGGGAAGCCGTCCCCTTCCATCAAGTGTATTGCAAAGGCAAAGCACGACTCTGCTGGCGCCAGCACTAGCAGCGGTCCTGGGCATGACAACGACGAAACTGGGGGCGACACGGACGTCAGCGACGACGAGCTTGAGGAGATCGTGTCGGAATCGGACAGTGATGCCGATTCCGACAACTACAAGGCCGGCAGTGACAACGAAGAGGAAGTTTCGGACGGTGCGGAAGTAGGAAGCGGTGACGACCGCAGCACACGTCGATCGAAGAAGGAGAAGCGCCCGCCGGCAAAGCGCAACAAGCGAGTGTGGTCGGATGCAGAGCTGACATCACTCGCGGCCGCTCGTTGGAACACGAAGGACGACCTGAAGGCGATGCAAGGGAAGCAAGGGAGCCAGTACTGGAAGAAGCTGCGAGCTCATATGGTTGAGAGGGACGCCACGTGGGACCGCGATGAGGGGCAGATGTCGAATGTGTGGAAAAGTCTCTAGAAAAAGTACCCGAAAACGAAACGGTCGGAGACGCAAAGCGGGGGGAAAGATATTAAGAAGAAGCCGTGGTGGGATTATGTTTACCATCTTAAGAAACACTCGGCTAAAGCCAATGCCCACGCACTGGACGGAGGAGGCGCCGCTAACGTTGACGTCCCTGCGTACGCTACCGTGCCCAGCACCAACGTCGCGGAGACCTCGGCTCCTCCCTCGCAGGGACGTCAACGCGGAAACCGACGTGGAGCGGCATCACAAGGTGAGTTGTGCCAATGCTTCAATGCCTGCCCTGTGACTCCCAGGAGCAACATTAAAGCCATGCTCTCTAATACTATATTTCACTAACAAGCATACAGACAATATCAAAGCCGCCTTATTGCCATACGTCCCTACACCCACCCCTACAGATGCTGTAGTCACACCACCACCCAAACGAAGGCGGATAAACGAAACCGCCACAATGGCAGCAGCTAAGCTTGTGAGCGACGCCATTAATTCCTCCAATGCGATGGCGTTGTGCCAGCTTCAAGACTCCACGCAACTACTTGTCGCCGCCATGAACATGGCGGCGATGCAGGCTGGCTTACGATAGCAGATGGCCAGTCCGCCCGTACCACCTGCGGCGCCCGTGACTACGCCGCCACCAGCACCGCCTGCAGACGCAAGCGACGCCAACATGGCGGGGTCGGAGGATGTGGCGGAGCAGCACGAGCCTTAGCAAACGGTGGATGACACACGGTGACGCCGGAGGTAAGCACGATGGATGTGCTTGCCGAAGTGGTGCCGACGAGCGCGTAGATCGGCAAGCGTAGGGTTGTCAAGGCTCCGCCACTCGTACTTATCCATGCCACTCCTCGTCCACCAGCCATTCGGGAGTCCAGCCCATATATAGCGGCGGTGGTTGTTCGTTTTCATCCTGGGCGTACTAACAGTCTGCAGCATGTTGTGTAGGATGATGATGCATGCCGTCCCTGCACACACGCGCCAGAGTTTGCTCTCGTGCCTGCGCGCGAAGAGCCTCCAGCGTCCCTTCAGTGCGCCAATCGTGCGCTCAACCACCATGCGCGTAGCAGACTGGACGTTGTTACGATAAGAGAGACCTGAGACCAGACGATAACGTGCCATCCTACTGAGACGCGGGAACGACGGGTGACCTAGACGGTGGTGCCAGAGGACCGACGGGTGGGTGAGGGACCGACAGTCACACGACACAGCAGCTACCTGACCTGACCTGACCTGACCCGACTCAGTGTGGTGGGACCCAGTGTGTAGTGAGTACAGACCAGATCCCGGCTCTCTGTGGAATGTGGCCAGGGGCGCCCCAGTGGCACCGACAGTGCAGGAGGCAACAGGCTCGTCCAGTGGGAAAGTAGTGACTACGCCTAGGTCGTGAAGGTGACTGACACCCACCAAGTTCCTAGAGAACGAGGGGGTGTAGTAACCTGTAAGAAAACCTGAGGGAGCCGCCGGACACGGAAGAGTGGTGGTGCTGCTAGCAACTACACGTCCCACAGAGGGGTCAGCCAAGGCGACAGTGACTGGAGTGCGCAGTGGTGTGAGGTCGGTACAGTCGCGAAAGAAACAGCTGGACGCTCCAGAATCTAGGGTGAAGGAAAGCTGTGCAGTCTGTGGGGTCGCACCCGAACCAGCTACAAAGGCTAGTGCTAGACTAGTGGTAGCTGCAGCTTCTACACAAAGACCCTCAGAGGCGCCGGGACTGGAAACAACACACGCACCAAGACTGGAAACACAGGTCTCTACTCGTGCAGCCGGAAAGGGTCCTAGACCAGGCAGGTGAGACTCAACTGGTGCAGTAGTGCGCTGGCGAAGGCGCGAAGGCCAGTGCGGTGTAATAGCGTGAGGACCAAAACGCTCACGGTGGAGGTCGTCGAGTCGACGGTAGCAGCTGGACGCAGTGTGGTCAGGACTCCAGCAGGTAGTGCCAGCACCAGGGCCTGTCAGGGCCCGGTACCCGCAGGGGCCGACGTCTCGCCCACTGCTAGCTGAGCCACTGCTGGGGGCGCCACACTTTGGACCCGCAGGCCCCAACTGACGGGAGTGCTGCGGCTGGCCCTGCTAAGCTGCTGCTGGTGCGCTGGGGGCAGCCTGTGCTGCTTCTGGTTCTGCTGAGAGGCAGCCTAGGCTGCTACTGGTTCTCCAGGGGGCAGCCAATGCTGCTGCTAGTGCGCAGGCAGTTGCCTAAGCTGCTGCTGGTGCGCTGGCGGTAGCCTAAGCTGCTGCTGGTGCGTTGGGGGCAGCCTATGCTGTTGCTGGTTCGCTGGGGGCAGCCTATGCTGCTGCTGGTTCTGCTGGTTCTGCTGGTTCTGCTGGTTCTGCTGGTTCTGCTGGTTCTGCTGGTTCTGCTGGTTCTGCTGGTTCTGCTGGTTTTGCTGGTTCTGCTGGTTCTGCTGGTTCTGCTGGTTCTGCTGGTTCTGCTGGTTCTGCTGGTTCTGCTGGTTCTGCTGGTTCTGCTGGGGGCAGCCTACGTTGCTGCTGGTGCGCTGGGGGCAGCCTATGCTGCTGCTGGTGTAGCTGGCGGCAGTGTAATCGGCTGGGGCTACTGACGGCGGGTGTGGTAGGTCGTGGGGAGGCAGGTTTCAGGTGGGGAAGCTGTTAAGGCAGCGGGCTACGGGTGAGGCGGCGGTTCTGTGCAGTTCTGTGCGGTTATGTGCAGTACTGTGCGGTTCTGTGAGGTTCAATGCGGTGGAGAGGACTGGGTGGGGCAGCTGATTCCGGGTGAGGTGCCTGGAACGGGTGGGGCAGCAGGTTTCCAGGTGGGGCGGCGGTTGTCAGGTCTGGGGCGGTGGTTTTCAGGTGGGGAAGCTGTTAAGGCGGCGGTTCTGTGCGGTTCTGTGCAGTTATGTGCAGTTCTGTGCGGTTCAATGCGGTGGAGAGGACTGGGTGGGGCGGCTGATCCCGGGTGAGGTGCCTGGAACGGGTGGGGCAGCAGGTTTCCAGGTGGGGCGGCGGTTGTCAGGTCTGGGGCGGCGGTTTTCAGGTCTGGGGCGGCGGGTTTCCAAGTTCGGCGGCGGTTTTCAGGTCTGTAATGGCGGGTTTTCAGGTCTGGGGGGCGGTTAAGACGGTGGGCTGCACGTGCGCGCGGCCGCGACGTACTAGCGCGAAGCTGCGGGTGCGACTAAGGCTGCGCGCGCAGCTACGCGCGTTCGTCTGCTGCGCGCTAGAGGGCTGGGGGGAAACGCGCAGGGCAGAAACGGGTGACGCGCGATGTCGACGGGGGGGCGCGACCTACTCGGGCTCTACGGGGCAGGGCGCTTCGGGCTATGGGTCGCTACGAGGCGCGCGGGTGGTGGGCCCATAGACTATCGAGAGAAATTTCGCCTAAGGGAAAAAATCGCCTAGGGGAAAAATCGCCTAAGGGAAACCTAGCTCTATAGCATGTTACGATAAGAATGAATTGATAGAAAATGTGAAGTACAACCCTAGATATAGCAAACCCTAATCATGCAAGTAAGTAGAAACGTAACACCTAGACTAACCTAAACAACACATATAAAATATATGTTGACAGACGTAGTTGTACGTCTGCTCCCACTTCTTCATTAGGCGTCGTCGTGGAGCGTGAAGGGGGGTGAGCATGTAGGACTTCAGAGGGTAGGCCGCATCCCCCACTCTCTAGCCTGCCATGAAGATCTGATATAGAGGAAACACCTTGATCATGCATTGAGCAAGGATTGCCAACCATGTAATCCCATATGACACCCTTTGAGTCACATGTAACTTGAAGTTGCACGCTATAGACCGACTTGCGGTTGAAATAGTCACCACGGTGGGCCTCCATGCCCTTTATCTGAATGTATGTCCCGTCAATCGCACCGATGACGTTGGGCACTCCTTTGATTGCGCGGAAGTCGAGTGCCATCTCCTCTCTCACTTCCTCTGCTGGGAACTGAACCCACTCGCGCTTGAACTTGCGGGGGAACCACACCAAGAAGGCATCTACCTGTTATGTGATGCTATCGTATGCATTCACGTCTGTCTGCCTCCCATCATATGTTCGCTATATATATACCTGCATGCTTGCACTTGCTAGGGTATGATAACTGTATTGTTTGTTCTCTTATATATAACTCTTCATGTGAACTGGCCTTGTGGCCCTTTGCTTGTGCTCGGACTGTGTGGTTTGTGATCCACCCTGAGCTTTCTTTGCTTCTCTTAACTGGTCTTGTGACCACTTGTTCTCCCCCACTTGCCCATGGGGGTGTCTCAAACTTATATATAGCTTACATTGTGTAGGCTATAGTGGGGTAGCCCATAAGGGGTACAACCCAATTAGGGTTAGTACTTGTACCCAACTCTTTCATAGTTCATTTATTCTCGTTCATTGATTCTGACATAGTACATCGAACCACGATGAGTGCGTCGTGCCGCAGGTAGCGTCCCCCATGAGCTCCCTCTCCGCCCACTTCACTTCCCCTCACAGCCCATTTTACGGTGGTTGTCCCTTTTTCACTCAACTTTTGTTTTTTAACAAGATGCGTGCGGGTGGTGGCAACGGGAGTGGTCTTGGCAAAAAACACGAGTTGAGAGAGACGGGACGGCCACCATAAAATGGGCGGCGAGGGAAAGGGAAGTGGGCGGAGAGGGAGCTCATGCGAGATGCTACCTGCGGCATGGCGCACTCACCATGGGTCGCTGTACTAGGCGCCTTGTCGCACACAAAAATGAACGCCCACGGGGAACCGTACGACAGACCGACGACGCAGTTCCACTGCCACCTCCACCACTAACCGTACCATGTCTATGCACAACGTTCGGAACCGTATCGCTAACGGAGGCGTAATACGCGGCGTAGATCGCATGGACGGTCGAGATCAGTGGGCGGGCAGACGCGAGGCAGGACATCGCGTGGACTGGCGCACGGCGGGTGAGAAGAGGCCGGCAGAGGAAAGGCGCGGCGAGGTATACATGGGTCAGCAAATGGTTGAGATGCGGTGAGCAGTAAAAGTGAGGGGTCGCGATATGCCATCGTCTGCAGCCTTGAAGCTGAGCGCCACCGAGGAAGGCGGCGAGGTAACGACGCGCGATTCGCGTGCGTATGCGAGAAAGTTGAAGCAAAATTTGGAGCTCATAATTTGGCGTTCAAAATTTCAGAACGCTAGTAGCGTTTGGTAAGCAAACAGAAGCGGAGTGAGTGAGGGAGAAGAGAGTTGGATTGCATAGCGAGATGAGAGCCTCAGGGAATGCTCACGAGTTTCCCGAGGATTTGAAGGAGCATGACTCGTTGGATACTCTTAGCAACGGCATGGCTCATGGCATGGCAAGCACCAGCCAGCATTTTTTTTATTTGAATTGAACACCATGATAAGGCTCATATCAAGAAACGTATGTGATGTGGCAGGTGGAAGGACTTGGCTCATGGCATAGAGAGGTCGTGACGCATGACATACCAGGAGGGAAGCATATGCACTTTTCAGCTTCAGCAGCCCATCTCTCAACGCCAAGCCCCGCTGGCCTACCCACGCTCTGGCCTGTGCTTGAGAGACGTCCGTCCACCAGCACAGCATTGTGACAGTTGCCGTGGCTGCAAAGACGACATGCACCTGGTGTTGGTGTTGACACAGTGGGACCGTGCAAGTGTTGGTATTGAGGTAGAGGGGCAGTTGGTATTGGTGCTGACACAGTGGGTGGGACAGCTGCTGTCGGCATTGGTACAGTATCAGTATTCAGACAGTGGGAAGACTTACCATTCGACTTAAAGTCACCTCGTTTTAATTCGGTTCAAATGACAGTGCGACAGTTCGGATTGCTGATGGTGTTGACATAGGAGGATACGATCTGTGCGTCATCCCTGGCCCACGAACCATGTGTGTACAATGTGTGCTTTAAACAGCACAAGAACACACCAGCTAAATTGGAGCCACCACAAAGAGTAGACACGACGTACGAGAAGCCTTTGACTGACTGCATGACTTCCCCTCTTACTTACGAGAGTCTGGAAGAAGTGCAGAGCAGTGGCTATGAAGTGCATATGTCAAAATGGGTCGGGCTGATGGGCCTGCAGATTAGGCACGAACAAGAACAACGCGCAACGGCAGTGACATGCAAGCGATACAGCAAATTTGGTGATAGCAATTGTTTCCTTCGGCATGAAAGCTGAGCTAGAGGCGAAGACAGAGGCATTCGCGCAACTACAGAAAGCGGTCGACGCATTGAAGAATACCAAGGCGACAAGCGCTGCTGCAAATGTGGGGGAGAGTGAGAGCGTGCCGCAGACGGCGACCGAGGAAGCCACCCCGGATCCACAGCAAGCCCAACAAGCAACGCCCTCTCGACAGAGCGTGAGCAGCCAGCTCGACCAGACGTTCTTTGACGCGGTGGTGTGGCCGTGGTGCAATTGCGAGACCGTGCGGAAGGCGTGGTCGTACTGGGACGGGGCAAGCCCACTGAACAACGGGCATCGTCTTCAACAGGCTTACAAGAGGGGCTTCGCCGTCAAGTTCTGCAAGTTCGCACCGACTCCACCCCCCGTAACCCCCAAAAAGGAGGCCCAGCCAAAAGAGAATCCACCAACCGCAAAAGCTATCTAGACGAAAATGCGGAAAATGGAGGCTGTCATGAAGGCCGTCGAGCATTTCCGGATCGACGGCAGCAGCGCGGCTACGTCGACGGTCGTCGAAAAGCTGGACTCAATTGTGAAGGGCCACTCGATCAACATGCTTTCGGAGGGCATCGTTCTCAAGGAGGATTCTGGGAGGCAGCTCACGAAAAAAAAAGCAAAGTCGATTCTGCAGAGGAAAACCGGAAGGACAAACAACGCCTCAGAATCACTCTGGAGCTCATTCGCGTCGAGCTCCGAACCGCAGAATGGGCGGAGAAGGTGTTCGGCAAGGAGAAATGGAAAGAGTTCACGACAACAACTAGCGCGTGGCCTAGTTCGACGCGGCCTACTTTGACGGGCAGCCGTGATGAGGGGGGACCCTATTGTAGGTTGTTCAGGGTTGACATGCCATCTTCCCCTAATGCATGTTGTGACACCATCTCGACAAGATGAACCATTTGAGCATTCTCAAAAACATTAAGTCAAGGAACATCTATCGATCAACCTATCGAAACAACAAACACATCTGTCGAATGATGCAAAATCCCCCACGCAATGCGCCCACCTATAATACTCCCCTTGCCCGCCTGTTTCCGCCTCTGTTGCCTCCTCGTCGCCCAGCTTCGCCTTGCTCTTTTCTAGTGGCATAGTCAGGCTCCCATAGCCCGCGTCCTCCAGCAAATGGGCAGCAAATCGAGAGCAGCACCATTGAGTACAGACTTGTGCTGCCACGCGCACCATCTGCAACAGGGTGGCGTCAGTCGAGCCGAGGCCTTCGACAGCCGACGAATATAGCAGATTGGGCCACTACTTGGCCGGGAATGTCTTGCCGACGTGCAAAAGTACGGACAGCAGCGCAGCCATGGCAGCCGCACTAACCCGTGTCGCCATCTCCGAGGCGTAGAGCGCTGCGTTTGCGGCAGCCAGGGCATCCTTCTTAATGTCTTCCCTCGACAACTTTCTGCAGGCCGCCCACAAGCTTGCCACAGTTGCTGCGATGGCCGTCATGTGCGCAGTCCCGTGCATGTTCTTCGGGACGAGATAAATCACGTTCTCGTGCCTCCGGCCAAGAGTCGCAACCTTCCCAATCGCCACGCACAACGCAATTCCGCAGTCGGTTCCGGCTCTCACTTCCGTATTTGTCGTCGCCAGCAGCGACCGGAAACTGCAAATCGAAACAAATGCGTTAGTCAGACGGCACGACTTCGACAGGAAATCCGACAGCACTTCGACGGAAAGAACAAAACTGCTACGACAGTCAAACTACAGGAATTCGACAGAACTCACTCGTCGAAACGACATTCCCCTTGTTCTTGTGCCACGCTCCAAACGCCGGTGGGCATACGCGCTGCTGCATCGAGATAGACCTTCCAGTCCTTCTCATCCTGCGCCATGAACCCCTCGTACTCCTTAAGGTCTATGTCCGGGAAGTACACGCGCCAACAGATGGCTGTACAAAACTTCTGGTCTGCCTCCGTTTCAAAAGTGCCCAGGAACCGCTTCCTCGAGCCTACGGTCTGCTCGGAAACCGGCTTCCCCTTGCGCGACATCATGCCCGGTCCTTTGAAGGGAGCTTTGCAGCCTCTTGTCTTGCCTTGGTTGTCCGGCAGAGGAGGTGGGGTGTAGCCGATCACCTTGGGCTTCTTCGAATTTTCGTGTCGAGCAGCAACGACGGTAGACGCCATCTTGACGTCACTGCTCTCTGTTGCCTCTGCAGCCCGCTTCGTCGACTTCGTCACAGCCTGCCTTTTCTTCGACGCAGAAGGGGGCCTTGGCCTCGGACCAGGAGGAGGGGAACCCGGTTCGCTAAGGGAGGCATCGCCTAAAACGGACGACGGCCTCTTTCCCACAGGCTCGACAGGACGGCCAGCAATGCCAAGCTGTGCAGGTGAGTCGGCCTTTGTCTTCGACAACAACCGAGCAGCGACGGCGACCTCGCTGGGAGCACCCCGTTTCTCCCCTGCTCCTTTCCCCGCAGCGCTGCTGGATGGGGTAGGGGCACCTCGCTTTTCCACGGCTCCTTTCCCGGCTGAGGCGACCTGGCCTATTGGGGCACCACTTTTCTCCCCCGCAACCACTCCTTTCCCACCCTTTTTCCCGAGGCCCTGCAGCATGTCCCGCAGCGGAGAAAAAGTATTAGGCGGAGGCTTCGGTGCCGCTTCGGAGGTCTGCTCACGGGGCGATTGGCCGAGTACGATGACATCCTTGTCCTCGACGGACTTGCCGACGGTCTGACGGGCACGCGACGGTGGGGATGCTACCAGGCTGTCGACATGTCCTCCCACCGAAGAAGGAGGAACTGAGCACTCATGAACTCAACGCTCAACCCCGCTGCAAACACCAGCCACCCCCTCCTCCTGACGCGACCTCATCGACGGGCCCGCCGAGCCCCGAAACCCTCTCGCCATCGCTTCGGCGAGGACTTCCAATCTGCCAGCTTCAGCTTCTTGGTAGCTTTCTCTCTCAACGTCCTTCAGCTCCTTCATGCTCTCGGGCGGGAGGGTGGAGTAGAACAAGTCCTCTTTGACGGCTTTCTCAATGCCCTTCACGTCCGAAGCAACTAGCCGCTCCTCGACAAGCGTGAGCTGCATCTCGACGGCGTCCTCGCTCGCTTTTGTGATAGCGGCTGCCACCCCCTCGATGATTTTCCCACTCATCTCGTCGAGCTTCGAGCATGCCCCTTCCAACAACTTCCTCTCCTCTGTGACACCGTTTACGGCATTGCCACACTGCTTCAGCGTGCTCTTCGACGACTCCGAAATCATATTCCAGGCTGTCCGAAAATCCCAAAGCAAGCTTGTTGAAAACAGCGGCTTGCTCACTGTGCTTCGCAAATACGTCGGCGACGAGCTTCTTCTGCGACGCCTCGACCTCCGCGACCCTCTGCAGTAGCTCGACGACCTGGCCTCCAGATGCAATGGCCGACGTTGAATGGCATGTCGTCGAAGGGCCTGCCTGTCCGCTGCCACTGGCCGTGCGGTATCTCCTTCTTACTGCGACGAATCGCTCCTGCGCAGCCTCCTCGCCCTCCTGCTCCTGCCCTCCTGCTCCACCCTCCTGTGCAGCCACCACGCCCTCTTGCTGCTGCCCTCTGACCCCACCCTCCTGCGCAGCCGCCCCGCCCTCCTGCTGCTGCACTCCTATCCCAAAATCCTGCCCAGCCGCTCCGCCCTCCTGCTCTTCGACATCCCAATCGTCCCCCGTCGCCTGCTGCTCGTCCACCCGCTCCCCGAGCGCCACTCCGTGCTTCTCCGTACGCTCCGTCCAACCTGGATGTAACCCTAAACCCTCACCGTCGTGCTCGATCGACTCATCGCTCAAGCTCGAGCAGGAGCTCGATTCCGAGCTCGAGCCCTCCTGCTCGTCCGCATTGCCGCCCGGGCCGCTCACCCCATGCTGAGATTGCCTCAATGTATCCTCCTCGATCTCCTCCTCCTCCTAGTAGCTGTACTCAACCACAACGCGTGGCGCCCCCTCACCTCCTCCCTCATGTCCGGCACCCCCTCCCACTCCTACTCCCTCCGCCGCCTCGTCCATCCTTTTCCAAAACAGTTTGAGCATGAACAACGGAAGCAAACCCGGGCCAGGGCTCGTTCTCCCAAGCATCACGAGGTCGCCCTGTCTAGGCTGCAGGATGAAATTGTCCCTGTTCGAAAGAATCCGGCGCACCCCATGCACGACACGAGCTGCCGCGCCGGGTTCACTGGGGCTCGTCCGGGCCGTCGTCGTCTGCGTCGGGTATAAAACACACGTAAGTGACAGAACAAACATGCTCGACGAAAAAATGCACGGGTAAGGGTAAGGGTTGGCTTACCAGATGATCGAAACTCGTGATCATGTCCAGACGCAGGTCGATGAGGCTAAGCACCTCTTGCTCGTGCTCGGTCACAACCTGTTGGGTCGTCCCGTACTCGGCGTGAAGTTGCTTCTTCATCCAACTGCAAAGCAACGGACAGGAGAGTAAGAGATTGTCGAGAACGGCAAGTCGACAGCAGGGTGGCAAATCGGTCACTCACACGAGAACTTCATGCCCCAGCGAAGATTGGTGGTTCACCGCGGGAAACCTGTCTTTTGAATCGAAGTGCATCATTCGAGTTCGACAGCCATGGTGCCTCGGAGCCAGCAGTTCGTCGGGGCGCGATACCACAAACAGGCTCGAGTGGGAGAACGGCGCAACAGTCAGGCTGCATGCAGAGCGAATGCACGTGAGCACGGGTTTAGTACTAAACACCGAGCACGCAAGGCGACGGGATAGTGCCGAACTCATGTGGTCCGCAGCAGAACGAGAATCACTTGCTTGCCGAGCAGGCCGTCGAGGTGGTTGTTCGCAAAAGCGACCGGTGTGGGACGCGTCATCTCTTCATGCGCACGCGTTGAAGTCACGATCGACAGCTTGGCGAGCTGCTCGACGGACAGCAGCTCCCTCAAAAACAGGCTGCACGGAAAGCTAAGGCACAGTCACCGACAGGTAAATATGGCAAACCGAAAGTGCTCGACAGGAAACGTACACAACGCCCGCGTTCATCATCGTCTCATCGAGCTCTGCCTTCGGCGCCTCGCTAAGCGCATTCAACGGGTCTTCGAACACCTCCACATCGATCCCGCCTGCGATTAGGATGAGGCGGCGTCGAACCGTCGGCTCGTTCACGCCGGGTAGGGAGGCAGGGCCCATAGCCATGACAGGCCTAGCAGTAGGGAGGGCGGGAGCGCAGGGAAGTTGGGAACTAGGGAGTAGGGAAGAAAAACTTGGAGACTGCAACGAAATGAGAACGCACTCAGGGTATTTGCTGTTTGCCATCCCCTCCACCGAGATAGACTCGGGTGCAAGGGTGACGAGGCAGGGCGCGTTCCGCGACGGCGGTAGGAGGAGCTTATGGCAGAGGGCGGCGGGGCCCTATATTACTAGTTGGTTGCATGAGGTGGGGCGCCCTGCATGCTAGAACTGTGAAGATAGTAGGTAGAGTTAGGAGCCATAGCTAGGTAAGTCCTAGCTAGGCAAGAGAAGTTTAAGCAAAAAAAAGAGAGGAGTTCACTAGCAGCAATGAGGATACATATAGCAAACCCTAGATGGGTTGTACTCGCTATAGAGCACCCCACTACAGGCTAGAGAATAATATTCTGACACACCCCCATAGCCAAAGTGGGGTGTAATCAGTACAATGAGCAAGCAGGTATAGAGCAGGAGTTCACAAAGGTAAGCAAAGCTAGAGCTAATCACAGCGGGCAAGTGAGGAGGAGGAGGAGCTGTGGAGGTAGAGAAGATGGGAGGCAACGACTGAAGCTGCAGAGGCACGGGCACAGGAGCGGCTGACTCAGAGGCTACCGAAGCAAGGGCGACGGACTACTGGAGTAACTGGCTCGGCGGCTATAGAAGAGCGGCAGGAGCAACGGACCCACTGGCGACTGGTGCAGCAGGCTCACTGGCTACCGAAGCAAGGGCGACGGACTACAGGCGCTGCAGGCGACACGACAGGTACCTCCACACAACCTCCTCCAACTGCCCCACACCCTCGACACACACCCACTGCTCAAACCCTAGCTCCACTCCCACGCACCCCCCTAAAACCCTAAACCCTAGGCTCCCACACACCCACCCCCCTCAGCGGCAGCTGCAGCAGTGGGAGACCAGGGAGGAGGAGGAGCAAGGGGAGTAATACACAACCGCCACCCCCACACTCCTCACCCCCAAACCCTAATTCAGGAGAACGGGCAGCAGCAGGGGTGGGGCACCGTCAGAAGCACGGGGGACAGCGAACAGCTCAGGGACAGAGAGGAACGGGCCGCCCACGGGCCTGGCACAGCCCGACGAACCGCGCGCAGGCGGCCCGAGCCGCGCGCGGGCCTGGCGCAGCCCGTACGGGCCGCGCGCGGGCCTGGCGCAGCTCGTACGGGCCGCGCGCGGGCCGGGCGCAGCCCGTACGGGCCGCGCTCGGGGCTAGCGCAGCCCGCGCTGGCCAGGACGGGCGACGGGGGACGACGTGCTGGTCCCCGTCGCCCGTCGAAGCGCCCCCCGGGGGCGACGCGCGGACCGACAGGGCAGAAGGCCGCCGCGCGCCTCGGGGCGCACGGCGGGCAGAGAACCGCCGCACGCCCCGGGGCGCACGGCGGGCAGAAAACCGCCGCGCGCCTCGGGGCGCACGGCGGGCAGAAAACCGCCGCACGCTCCGAGCGCGCGGCGGGAAGAGAAATCCGTCGCACGCCACGGGGCGTGCAACACACAGAGTAGCAGCGGAAGCAGTTAGGTGGGCCCACAGGCCAGGAGCGTAGATGCTCTGATACCATGTGAAGATAGTAGGTAGAGTTAGGAGCCATAGCTAGGTAAGTCCTAGCTAGGCAAGAGAAGTTTAGGCAAAAAAAAGAGAGGAGTTCACTAGCAGCAATGAGGATACATATAGCAAACCCTAGATGGGTTGTACTCGCTATAGAGCACCCCACTACAGGCTAGAGAATAACATTCTGACAAGAACCCTGTTGCGCCCTTATGTTATATCTTCCCACCCGTAGCCTAGAACCGTGGTTTTGTGACCTTCTTACATTATGCGCACGACCAAACCCAAGGCGGAACGCGTGGGAGATGGATACAACAAACGAGTGAAAGGGGAGTGAAGTGGATGGAAAACGGGCGCGGGATCGCAGTGACGCTGATGCGGTAGAGAAAAACGCTGACAGGCAGCAGAATATTGCATGTATTTGCGACGGGGATATCAGGCCCCTTGCGACATGAATTGTCACGCCTAGCAACGGCTATCTTCACGCCTTGGGACGAAAAATTACACGCCTTGCGACGGGGATATCAAACGCTTTGTGAGGGGGTTTTGACGCCTTGCGACAGAGATGCTCACACCTAGCGACAAAAAAAATTTCGCGCTTTCCAGGGCTATTTCACGCCTTGCGAGTGGATTTCATGCATAACCAGAATTTGATGCCTTGCGATGCAATAATTGTTATCTTCAGCCCAGCTCCCTGAGGACGCGTCACGTGAACAGCAATCCTGCGATCGATCCTACGTAGGATCGATTTTTCACGTGGTTCAAAAAACGTCTAGATGTTTTGAATGCAATATGCGGGTTTTTAAGTGTGGTCGAAGATCGGTTTTTGCGCTGAAGGACCTGCTGCACCATGTGTGACTGAGTCAAGGTAATGGTGCGCTGTGCTCTGTCCCGGGTAATCCGCAAGCCAAGATAGCTTGTCAGCTCCCCCAGGTCGGTGCACGTGTGTCTCTTCTGCAGCTCGGACTTCACGTGGGCGAGTGCCTCAGTGTCAGCAGTAGCAAACACAAGGTCGTCTACGTACACGAGAACGTAGAACGGCGGCAGAGTGGTGTCAGTGCGTAGAAACAGAGAAGGGTCAGCAGTGGAAGGAGAAAAACCAAGAGTAGCAAGAGTGGTCCTCAGTGTGCCGTACAACTCACGAGGTGCCTGGCGGAGACCGTAGACTGGCCGGCGGAGGCTCCACTGGGTACCCAGGAAACGACCCAGTGAAGCCAGGTGGGCGGCGCAGCCAGATCTCCTCGTGCAGGCTGCCCTGTAGGAAGGCTGTGCTGAAGTCAAGCGAGTGGAGCTCATAGTCACGCTGAGAAGCTACGTGCAGCAGTACCCGAAGAGTGGTCATCTTCGGGGTAGGGGAGAAGGTCTGGAAGAAGTCAACTCCCTGTCGCTGACTGAAGACACATGCAACGTAACGCGCCTTGAAGACAGGCGGAGAACCCGGCGGCCGCTTCACCCTGAAGATCCACATGCCACTGACGATGTTCGCCCCAAGCGGGGGAACCTCGTCGACGTAGGTGCCTGTGGACTTCCAGGAAGCCATCTCGGCGTCCATGGCTGCCTGCCACTGAGAGGAGTAGGGACCCTCTATCGCCTCTGCGTAAGAGGGCGGGGTCGGGATGTCTGGTGCATCCGGGTCTCCCTCAGGGGCAAGCAGCATGGACACGAGATGAGGTACAGCAGCGGCAAAGCACCCAAACTCCTCCTGTCTGTCCTCAAGAACGTCCGTGCCAAGAGCACACTCACCCCCGACGGACGGAGGACAGACAGACGCAGACTCAGACTCAGCAACCAGACTAGTGGCGTAGTCTAGGCGACAGGCTGCAGCAAAGTCAACAAGCTCAACAACGAGAGCAGACGCACAAGAGGACTCAAACAGAGGGTCAGTGATAGCAGTGGCCAGGAAGCGCGTGACAGTAGGACTAGCAGCACGAAGGGAGTCAGACTCCGGGTCCGGACCGTCAGGAAGAGAGGACGCAGGAGGAGAGGGCAGAGGGACACGCTGTGGAGCAGTGGAAGGACGCAGTGTCATAGAGTGAGTGCTAGGGACAGGAGGAGGACGCGGACGCAAAACACGACCAGCGCGAGCAGTGCGGACAGGCGACGCAGCACGAGACACAGGCGACACAGGACGCGACTCAGGCTCACGACGCTCCGTAAGACCTCTAGTCGGTCTAGAGTAAGGAAAAGGACCAGGTAGTGGAGAGGACGGCTGTAACGGCGACTCTGACTGGTCAGGCGGTGGACTCAGTAACGGAGGAGTAGGACCAGGAGAAGGCGGTAGACCAAGAACCT